TTGATTACACAACTGTACGTATACCGTATAGCGACTGTACGTGCAGAAATCGAGTCTACGGCTCTTATCTAAACATGCATATACCCATGCGCCTTGTATAAATATGTATGTATGACGAGTTTTTTTTCCTTTACCTCCAGAGGTCGAACGGTCGAACCAGCTTGTAGCTGGCTCCGTGGCAAAATTGTCCGGCGACGACGTCGTCGTTGCTGCTATTGTTACCTTCTCGTGGTTATATCTATATCGGTCTATACACGTCGATGCGGTCAACGCGTACGAGTTTGCCGGCTTTCTTTCGAAAGGGCCAAAATGTTTGCCGCACTCCGCAAGCCGAGCGGCACTGCTTCTTCCTCTTCTTCTTCTTTCCACTGATCTTAATTCAGCCGGCCGTATTATTAAGGCTTCCTTTGATTTGTTCGTAAACCCATACAATTACAATATTCAGAGTTGATATTAAATTGTTGATATTTGCTTTGATGAGAATTGCGCAATTGCAAAAATTAAAAATGACTGCGAAAGCTTTTGAACGGTACTCGGTTAATTTTGCATATGATTGACGCTAGGTTTTCTAGTCTAAACTTGAGCGCGTAGGCAATTTTTTCAAGAGTAAGAGCTTTCACAAAGTGCTGAATATTTGATGTTTTACATTATGCTTTATATGTGATTGTGGTAACGGCGGCCGCGCGAAGCCGCGTGATTGCAATGTCTTGTGTGCTTTTCCGCTGGGTTGAAGAAGAAAATATTGGCATTTCTTTCTATTTCTTCCTTTTCTTCCACTCGTATATGGCAGCTCGTTTGGCTTTGCCCCCAATCCCACTCCTTCTCCTCTCTCTTTCCCTCTCTTTCTTTTTCTTCGTTTTTTTTTCTAATAATTTACTACCTACTATACCGACACTACACTATATATCAGAATTTTTGTTTGAGCTTCTCGAGTATCTGAAAAAAAAATTTTTTTTCATCTCATTCCAAGTACTTTCTTGCAAAAGGAGCGACTTAAGTCTCATACTTTTTTGTCCGAAGGAGGCGCGCTAACATGATTCGCTCAAGATAAAATTTCCCCGTCTTATTCAAGAAAGAGAGAGTGAGAAAGTGGGAGAGACGGAAAAGTCAGGTCATAGTATAATTCTCAGTTTTCCTTTCTCATTATCGGTCTGACGATATCTTCTTTTTTTTAATCAACTCAGAAGAGAAGTTTCACTTGTAATATATGTCTTTTAAGATTGTATTTTTTTAAATTGCTCGAGACGATCTTTTATTTTTATTAAGGAGAGTCACACACCGATTTACTCCTCTTTGTCATTTTTGTGATATAAACCACAGTTTAATGTCAATCTACATTTTCAACACAAAATTGACATCTTTGAACCGTAAACAATGTGAAAAAAGTTGCAGAATAGTCCTTTCATCTTAGAATAGTCCTAGCTTATTTTTGCTATTTTAGCCTTTCAGCACTGTGCGCAAGATTCAGATCAGAGTTATTTAGGTGACCATTCTCAATAGGAATCAAAATCTTCAGAAAAGTATCCTTTATGGGCTGAGTTTTGTAGAATTTGGATTTAAACCTTCATATAAGTTCTAGTATTCAATATGTGCTCAAAAATATTAATAAATTTTTTTTATTTCTTGATTTTTTCACATCTGTTGTCATACAAACTTTTTTATAACTTTAATCAAAATTCCACAAAACTCAGCCCGCAAAGGATACTTTCCTGAAGATTTTGAGACCTATCAGGAACTCCTACCTGAATAACTCTGATCTGAACCTTGCGCACAGTGTCGAAAGGCTAAAATAGCAAAAATGAGCTATTTTTAGATGCAAAGGCCTATTCTGCAACTTTTTTCACATTTTTGAGGGCTCAAAGATGTCAATTTTGTGTTGAATAAATTGACATTAAACTGTGTTTTATATTTCAAAAATGACAAAGAGGTGTGAATTGGTGTATGACTCCCCTCAAGACGCTTTAGACAAGTTCAGGCACAGGCAGTTTAGACATTTTTATTATCGTTCTTTTTTTTTATCGATTGCATTTTTAGAAACATGCTAATATATACTTTAGATTTTATTGTTATAAATTGATAAACGATACGTAAATTTAACTACATTATCTGACATGAAATTCGAGAAAAACATGTATAGGGAAAAAGTGACATCAATTTACTTATCTAAACATCGATCTATTGTACCGAACAAGTAAGGTAGAATTAGGAAATGTAATTAGAGACATACAGTACAATGAGAGGATATTTTTTTAAACACACTTGAAAAGTATTTCAACTAATCTGGTTTAAACAAGATTTAGTATGATCCTGGCTATTATTTCCGGTCGTCGAAAGGCGGGTTTTATTTAAAAATAAATTAAATCGCGAGTAGACGTAGCGCCCCGCCGGGCCGAGCATTCCGAAAAGCGTACAGGATTTTTCTCGACATTCCTCAGCTCAATGGAGTGTGCGAGTGTGTGTACGGGATCGGTCGGATAGCCACAGGCGCGAAAAAAAAGCTCGCGTGCAGGCTCCGGGCAGGCAGGCGAAAATTTGTGAGAGCCACCGGGCCGATCAATGGACCTATTTGTTATTCTCACTCGGCGTGTAAATCGAACGAAGCGTATCGGAAAGTTAGCTCACTCGCGCCGTGTAGCAGTTGATAGAGTGGATAATTAACGAGTTTGAACGATCCACCTCTATATATACGTATATAGGCGCATGTAGTAGTAGCAGCAGTAGTATATAGAGAAGTGATCGATTTCCGCCGCTACTCTGCCTCTGCAGACAAGAAACCAATTGAAATGAGGAGAGCTATTGTTTCGTCACTTAGACGATTAGAGTAATGATCCGATATGTGTGCGTTGTGTAGACTAGGCAGTGTGTGCAGTGCGCACGAGACGCGTGTGCAGCGGTCCGATTGGGGTATACCTGCGCAGTGTGGGGTCTTGGATATCGGGGGCGCGCACGCATCCAACGAAAGAATTTAATCGGTCGAGCACGCGCTCATGAATTCGGGATATGAAACGTGAAATTCGCATTTATATGCACACGGTGCGGTGAACAGACAAAATTTCAGTCGCGGAAAATGGCTGACAATGCTCTGCGGGGAAAAATTCAAAGAGTAATTAGCTCTTAAAAGTATCGCGTTCCTCGCGAAATTCGTAAAATCCTCAAAATTCACGCTCTCGCGCATCTCGTTTGTAAATAGCTTGACGAATTCCAATTTGTATTACGCGAAATTTACCACGAGAATGAAATTTTTCCGCAAACGAGCTCGAGCCCGCGCGACATGCCGTACGAATTGTTGCGTGAAAATCTCGACGCGTAAAGACCATGGAGGTATGCACGAGAAAAAAAAAGATTTCGATTTAGAAGCTGCTAAAAACATTACCTTCGCGCACACGTTGGGGTGTGTAGCTGGCACGAGCACAGCTGCAGCAGGGCATATACAAAAGATCGAGCTCGATATATTCATGAGCTGCCGAGCAAATCGAGCTTTTTTCCCCATAACGCACCAGCCGAGTAGAATATTATATGCTTCAGGATAAGGGGAGGGGATAACTTTAATGCCGAGACAGTTTGACAAAATGATGACAGCTGTAGCGTGTGTGACAGTTTGAGAGGAGGTCGGATTTATCCGAAAGAGAGAGAGAGAGAAAGATACAGAGAGGGAGAAGTGCAGCTCGACGCTTCTCGATACGCATGTGACAGCATGTAGCGAACAACTCCAACAACTTGTGCTTGTCAAACTCCCTCGGTTTACTCGGGTATAGGAAAAAAAACATCACCGACGAGAAACATAATTTGCACTCGACCACGAAAATGAAAATTAAAAGCTCGCGAATGTCATAACGAATAATAAAACTCTCGAGCTTTTTTTTTTTAAACGCTGAGAGAAGTAAGGATCCGTGTAAAAAAGAGCTGAAACGATGTAGGGGGCGAGCCCGCGCGCTGTATATAGATATATGTGGCAACGACGACAGCGACGACGACGACGACGAAAGCTCTCTAAAGTGCTCTGAAAACGACGTTCGCTCTATCCCAAAGTTCGCTGTGCGAGTCGAGGTGCTGCTGCTGCCTTGGCAAGCGATTATCTGGCCATATAATTTTCTGAGTAAACCGCAAACGCCGGCTGGGCTTTACGCGCGCGCTGTCGCCACCACCGCCGACGACGACGAGGGCACAATCTTTTTAAAATCGTCGTAACGCGCACCACGGAATCGCGACATCGACGAACGAACGATGAAAAGCGACGATTTTTTACTCTCCTTGTGTCGGACGAATATTTGCCGAATGCAGTATTTCTCCGGCGTACCACCTATACATCTGCGCGATTTTCTTTTATGTCGTTGGAGCTTGCGGGCTGCGGTTCTTTTTTTTCCATATATATATATCATATAGCTATGTAAACCGTAAAACAAAATCGAGTGGCGTGCTGCAGAGCGATGAATCAACGATTTCGCCGGGTGCAGTATTCAGAGGGGCAAAAAAAGCCGCGAAACTGTATCAAGAGCAATAAAGAAAAATATAAGCGAGAAAAAAAGGGATTCGCTCGGTTGTCGATCCCCGCGCCAGTCACTCACGCGAATACACGTATACAGGTACGCAACGGCGTGAGAGCTACAATTTTCTCTCTCTCCCTCTGCCTCTCTCTCTTTGCTGTATGATGTGCGTACATAGAGTACATAGAGTATACACCGACACCTTACAACGCGCTGGGGGCCGATGGATGCATTAGTCACAGAAATATCTATGATTTACAGGTGGAAAGGGCGTGCGCGAACATCGATATATAGTGTGTGTGTGTGTGTGATATTGGTATGAAGAAAAGAGCGTACAATGTATATATATATGATAGGGGTGAAGCGAGAAAAAAACGTCATCGACAGACCGAATGTGCAGAAAAGCGATATGGTGGCTGTGCGTCGTCGACTGCTAGCAGCTAGCGAGCTTGCATAGCAGTCGGACCATTACTAGACGTACACTACAGACGCAGGCACGCATATCTATAAATTTACCATTGTGCGAAGAGCTGTAAACGCTGCCTCCTTTTCCACCGGCCACGCGGCCGCCGACTGGCATTGTTTTCTCTTCTCTCTAGCCTCTCGCTGTCCCGCGCTCGCCTATCTCTCGTTCTCTCTCTGCCTCGCCTCGCTCGTGTCGTGTCCTCTATCCTACTACTCTCGGCTTGCTGCTCGAGCTCGCTGCGGCAACTGCGAATGTCCTATCACGCCCTGTCACCTGTAACAGAAAAGTATAAAAAACTGTAAGGGAGAGAGAGAGAGAGAGAGAGTAGAAAAAAAAACGAAATGAGAAAATATAGAGCGAAAAAAAAAACGAAATTCATAAAAGTTGTTTGAGCTGTCAAACGTCATTGTTGTGTCGCTGGCGCTGTAGTGGTGGTAGCAGGCCGATGTGCTACTATGTATTAAAGGGTAGTACAACCACTGCTCCAGATATCCCGAAGCTTTACGCTCCCGCGGCTCGCGCAATCTATGAGTTATAGGATGGAAAAGGAAAATATATGGCCGGTCTTGCGAGTCGAGGCTCGACGACGAGGCAGCCTATAGGTATATATACGTATACCGGCGCCTATAACCATTTAGTCGACTTGGCTTGCGCGTATAGCTGATGTACGCTTGCAACGCCCGTAGAAAAGGGATTAATTTTCAAAGGATTCCGACTGCTTTATATACGTACATTTTATTCTTGTCTCTCTTTTCGCGCGTTTCAGGCACCTCGTCTATCTCACTCGCTCAGTCGGCAGCTGTGTCTCTAGCGCAGCGGCCTATGAATTTTCATGAGCGATCGATCGAAATCGAAGCATCAGCGCGGCGGTGGTTGGTTTTAAGCAAAGTCGTTGCTCAGCGGCAATATATGCGCTGCTGTACACTCGGCACCAGGGATATCCCTTTTAAACGAGTTCAACTTGCGAATTTTCAGTCGAATTGAGTTTGATTGAGCAGCTTGCAGGCAGGCTCGCTGTTGCTGCTGCTCGGCGAGCGGCTTTTTTAATCATGCAGCCGGCGACAGGGGCGCGCGCACGAAGTAAAGAGAAACTGCCGACAACATCATCGATGAATTACCCTCTATTTACGCTCGAGCGATCTTTCAACACGGTCGGGGAGCTGCTCGCCATTGAGCCTTTTGAGGAACGATATTTCAATTTGCAAATTGCATCCGAGCGAGTCCTCGCATAAAAGAACAAGGCGAAACTCTGCTTTTTTTTTCGAGTGAAATTTCTTTGCGCGCGTCGAGACGCGAAGAATTAAATTCGTGGAAAACAAGCGAGCGCGATATAATCGATTTACAGAGTTTTTGAGTCACGGCAGTCAACGGTCACTGTTGCTTCGCGCGCTGCTATCGGCCGGTGCTGTTCAGTGTTGATAGTCTGATCGCTGGTCGACTACTACTCAGCGCTTGAGTCTTTGTAGATTGTAGAGATGTACTCGTATTTCTGTCTCTTTCCTTTTTATACCTCGAATCTCGATCTCGAGACTCGCTAGTCTAAGTCGCCGCGCTGTGCATGCTCACTGTTGGTACGAGTTGCTCGACGAAATGACGCACAGGTCTCGCGCTACCATCGTTACGCTTATACAGTCAGTACACGTTACGACGTTGCAGCGTGAACAAAGAAAGTCGACATCGATCGAAGCAAGTGATTCTCGACAAGAAATAAAAAATACCATAATTTGTAAGCCATTTTGTGTTTGTGTCGTGTGTGAATGCGCAAAAAGATGTCCGGATCCAACGACGTTATACCTGGCGAAGGTAAAGACGAAGGCGTAAGCCAGTTGAGGAGATTACGAGAAACGGTCAATTGGGAAATTCAAGAAGAGAGATACGAATTTCTTCGTAAACTCTATCCCATAATCTTACATTGGAATGAACAACTTCCGAATCTACGGGACATTTTTCGGCGGGAGGATATCGATTGGCTTCTCACGGAAGAAGTGCAGATGCGCGAAGACGATCCCATTTATAGAAATGCTTTATTCGTCGACTTTGTAATTCGCACCGGCTGCAAGGACGAGCCCGAGGTAGACGAAGGCGGCCAGACTTTGCTATGTCGCACCACGGCGGTGCATCATGCTGGTTTAGGTGATGATTTCAGATCCATGATTTCCAGTCTTTTGATGTGAAACATTTATATTTTTCAAGTATACGACAAGTTCGATGTGAACTACATCGACGAAATGGGATTCTCGCATTTTTATGCAGCCTGCCTATTGGGCTGTAACGACGTCGTCGAAAAATTCCTCGAGCTCGGTCAAGATACCAATTTCGTCGTGCGTGAAACAGGTGATACACCACTTACCCTGGTTTTGAGGTATGGCTTACCGAGAAGACAAGTGGCCGAGTTGCTATTGAGAAGCCGGGGCTGATCCAAATTTAGCTAATGCAGACGGATTGACACCTCTGCACTCGATTATCGAGTCAGATAACGATGGTGAATTAGCGAATATATTTTTTGACATTACCGAAGAAAAACATCAGTTAGTGCATATCGATGCCCGAGACAAAGAGGGTAATACAGCATTACACTTGGCCGCGGACACCGGCTACGAGAACTTGATCAAACTTCTCTTGAGAAAAGGCGCGATCCAAATTTGACCAACGAGCAAGGGGAGACACCCTTGCATAATATTTGCAAGAGTTTATATGATAATGATTCGGTCGAGCAGTTCTTCAAGACCAACGAAGATCTTCAACAGCCGGTGCAGGTCGACGCGCAGCAAAAGTTCGGTGGCACACCGCTACTCATTGCTCTGGTGTTCAACAATAAGAGCATGGTTGAATCGCTTCTGAGACGTGGCGCCGATCCAAATCTTGCCTGCACAAACGGCTGTTCTCCTCTACACATCATCGGCAAGTTAGGCCATACATGTGACATGGCAGAGTTTTTTTTCAAGATTAATAAAGAAGTCAATAAGTCGGTGCAGGTCGACGTTCTCGACGACGATGATAGGACTCCGCTTCAATGGGCCGTAGCGAGTCACGCGCCAAAAACAGTCGAGGTACTCTTGGATCATGGTTCTAATCTGTCAAGATTTGTTTTTCCTACCGAGAGTCACTTCGATGATGTATTGGAAAAGGAATTCTTTATTACACCAATTTTACTTAGTTCTAAATTGAGCCTAGCTTCTGGCATTTTGGCCGTTGTTGAAAATCTTGAAAAAAGAGGACGCAAGTTGGACCGTAGCGAGGCTCTAACAATCATGGCATTATTCGCGAAGTACGGTTTGTTCCAGAAGTCGACGGATGTCGACGAATGTTGGTACAACGACGAGGAGTTTACGAGCAAAGCGAAAGAGATTATGATAATTCCTCAACTGTCGTTCTACGACCTAACCCGATTACGATCCGAAAAGGCGACCAAGTTACTCACATTTACGAACTATTACGAGTTGTCGTTTCCACCGAATTTAATGGAGCTCCCCAAAATACCCAGCGAGGCCTATGCCGTGCACCTGTGCGAGATGATATGAAAAAGATTTTTCCTGCGATGGGCACTGGATCCTTTCTTGGAGTTGACGCGCTACAGGCTACCGTTTCTCTGCTGCGAAATGATCATCGAGAATCTCGGCAACGAAGACTTGTATCACCTTTGCATGAAAGCTCCAGGCCAAAGCGCCTGACGGAGAAAAAAAACACGTTTGTAATACTTTTTGATGTTTGTATTAAATGTGACAGATTTTTCATAACATCGTTTTAAAATAATTCAAGTAATAAAGAAATTGAATACGTTAATTTACGTTATTTTCAACAAATGTCATGCTTTTACCCTTAATTTTCTTAAAATTACCGAGCAAGCATCGCGACGACTAACGCCATTTCACGGAAACTCGAGACTCTTGAGGAAGAAAAAAAAGGATAATAATTAGAATTACGTGGCTTAAACGACGAGGAGATAATATTTCTGCTAATGCAAGCGGCTAAATGTAAATTTTACGGCAAATTCCTGAATACGCGTAATTAGAATGGTCAACAGCTCTCGGTACGTATATATAATAGATAAGAAATTCGATCTTGCACGCGCGCCATCGTATATATATAGGTGTGTTTGCATTATGCGTGGCTGTGTGCGGTCGCTTTAGCCGCAGCAGCAGCGACGTGTACGAATGCTTGCGAGGCCAACCCCAGTAGATTAATAGGATATGTGTAATCGAGTACACGTGTACGTGTGTATTATAGCCTGCAGCGGCAGCAGCAGCGGTAGAAGCACAGACACACAGGGAGAGAGAGCTTACGCGCGGCGGTGAAGAGCCCAGCTTGCAGCTCGGCACTGCCAAATACGTTCGTAGAATTGTACAAATCCTTTAAATTGCTAAATTCGCCATATATATTCGTATACGAATTCGACAAATGCGCTTGTACTTACAAGCGGCCTCCTCCTCTCTCTATATATACGTCTCATTCCAAAGCTTGGAAATTCTTTGCATCGCTGCGTTAGCTACCGCTGCTCTCCGGTCGAACGCTAAATGATGGATGCTCGAATAATTGCGGCGAAACAATTCTTTGCGAATTATTTCCCTCTGCTCGGGCTCGGGGCTCGGAGCTGCTGCTGCAAAGTATACCGTATTTCCATTTTGTAAGCACGCGAGCTCGATCGTCCGTCATAAATTCCATTAATTTTCCGGCCCAGCAGAGAGAGAGAGAGGCTTCGGGCGTCACCGCGTCGTATATAAGAATAAAGCAAGTGCTTTTGTGCGTCGTCGATCCGCAGCGAGCAATAGAGGCGGCAGCGGCACTCGACACTCATCATCCGCATATACCATGTACGAAAAGTCGGGCGTTCCCTGGCGCATCTCGCGTACACTCACACACATACACACACCATCGTTATATATTATACGGCTTTCATACAGCTCGTCGAATTATGTGTATATATATAATAGTAGCATACTGCAGTATAGCTCGTCGCAACTATAAGTTCGGGGGATGCACATTCATAGACTCGGCACGGGTATATTACATGCACGCGCTTCCGCGAGTCCTTGAATGCACGCGCCTCTATCGCGCTCTCACTGTCAGGACTTTCACACTCGGCAGCGTTGCTGCGAGGCTGTTATATTCAGTTAGTTGGCATCTGCAGGCCTTTAAAACTTTGCGCAGCTATACACCGAGTATTCGTATATGTACGCGACTCCGAGCTCGTCTCGCTTAATTATACACTCGTATATTACGTCCTCTCGCGCGCCCTGCCAAGTACTGTGCACGGACGAGTCACAACTGCCAAC